TTTKRAAAAWTYSRAAWTTWWTTTTTTGTGATGGCATTGCTTTAGAACTCTTTTGCTTTTTAGTACAAAGTAGTTATTGTAATTCAATACAATATAAAAAGTGGATTATCATGGAAAAAAATATCTGTGATAAAGCACATCGAAGTTCTAATTCTGCGTGTGTTCTAGTACTATCTTTACCATCAAAATCGGACACCCATGACACTGCACCGATTAACAAAGGGAGTAAAGGTTCATAATTATTTTGATAAAAATCTTGATCCTTTAAAATTGGTTGCATTCCACACATTTATCAAAAAGGCAGATAAAAGTAATAGCCGAAATGAGACTGCGGCAAAAAAAAAAAAAAAAATAGTTCATTATCTTTTAATGGCATATGTATATATATATTTTTTAGTTTATTGTTTTTGTTTTTGTTTTTGATTTTTTTTGATTTCCATCAAATCAGCTGTATATAAATATACAAAAATTAAGCAAGGCAAATCTGAATGTTTCCTAAAGACTTTTTAGATGAAAAAATAAATAAAAGGAAAAGGAAGAGAAATGAATCAGAATTCCSGAGGCTATACTTCACCAAGATGAACTTTTATTTTCATCTTTTTAAAAAAAGTTTATCAGTCATCATTTGTGACATGTTGGGATATTGGGACTGATCCAGAATATCTGATATCTTTACAAAAAAATGTACGTCTTCCTACCATACGTTAACCTAAATATGTTGCTAATGTCGATCTAATACTTGTTTCATTGATGTTACGTAACTACTACCCAGTTAAGTAAATTCAAATCTCAGTAACTCACCTGCCATTGCTGTAGCGATACATGCGTCCATGGCATTCCCGCCTTTTCTCAAAGCCTCAGTTCCCGCGTGAACTGACAATACGCTTGTTGTACCTGACACAAGACYCTGGACTTTACTGAACTCCAATGGCTTTGGACGTGGATTTTTCCTTAAGGAAATTGCTTCTAATCTACGAAAGGTTTCTGCATCCCACATTGAAGGCGATAGTGAAACAGACTTGTAGTGATTTGACTKWGAATGAGCAATCCACAACATAGTCAATATTAAAGCCAAATTTGTTTTCATGCTTGTGGTGTATTGTTCTTCAATGTTATGACTTTCAACGGGCTATCACGGTCAAAAATGACGCAGTACGCACTCYTTTCATTATATATGGAGTGTAATTCGATACTCAGGAAGATAAGAGCCATTCCCTGGCCTCACTGGCTTGTTCAGCCGTTCGTGATTGGGAAACGATAGTCCAGTATTGTGGCGACAGATAAGACCCATTCAACAACTTCCATCAAACAGCAAATCYTTACGATTTGATATTCTTGTTTCAAAGTGATGTGTAAAATAATTGAGTGATGAAGTCATTTAATTAATTTCTATTTAATTAATTATCCCAGTGTTTAATTGATGCTGGTTCCGTCACCGAATGAAGCTATAATGAGATTCAATGACATGTCAAACGTGTCATCTTGTTTGAGTTTCTAGAGGCTCATGTTACRCAGTATAATCTTTCTTTTACTCCTGTAGTTCAACTATGGACTACATAGCGTCAAAGCATCGTAACAGACAATGATAAAGCGTTTTACAAGGCCACGTTTTGGCTCAGTAGTRCCCAGATWATGAAAACAGAACCAGCGATCATAATGTCGTTAAATGGAAGTTCGGGACAAGAACGATCATCATCGCCTAGCACTCCAGTAAACGAAGCCTTGCCACCAAGCGTTGTGCACGTTTCAAGGGATGAACTTCGGAAATTCCTTAAGTGTAAACGAGTTGGGAATTATTTACTTGGAAAGACTATTGGAGAAGGATCTTTCGCTAAAGTCAAGCAAGGCTTCCATGTTTTGACTGGTGAAAAGGTAAGCTGCATTGATTTGTATAACAAATCTGCTAGATTGAATAGAAGCCCTGCTATTAAAAGTCGATRTACATGGGGCTAAAATAAAGTCACAAAGCCAGTAATATTACCAAACATTGACTATATWTTACATAAACTTTGSACAAATTTTAATGTAAGCTSGAGATCCTGCTTYACTTAGATATTTCCATCAACGGAAAAGGCGATTCAAAAGSCAGTGTTCCTAATCCCAAACGTCATAATTCCAAGGTTGCAAGGAAGCTATTTAAAGCATTTATCACAAGCTATTTAAAGCAGGCAGCGTTTCAAACACGATTTCTCATCGTTCAAGTTGAAAGGTTTTCGGTGTGTTTGTTTGTGTTTTCACGTGCTTTTGTTTCACGTTAATCGATGTTCGCTTATCTGAACAACTCCGTTGTCATTTGGTCGTGTTGGTGTTAAAATCTAAACGCTCCCTTGAGGTTTGAAGCATTAGTTGCCTTTCTTTTCATTCATGGATTCATTATCCTGATGCAATCATCGTATTATTTAATTTATAAGGTCATAAATAAATCCAGCTTTACTTCGCGACTAAAGAATGGCCGTTGTTACTGTTTCCTCTACGTAACAGCACACTGTGAACGTCACGGTTCYATATTTCTGCTTTATATTTCAACGTTGAGTACAACTAGAATACTCGAGTTAGTTTAAATAAGATTCTATTGATGTAAATCATTGGGTCAAGAGGCTGGAGTATGTTTGTTATGCTAAATTATATCAGTACCGCTTTRCATATTTTTTTATCGTCTGGTCGTGAAGGCATTGTTACAATACCGCTTCTAATGGWATGACGCAGATTTCTACATTCAATGAATACCTTTTACTCGTAATAAAAGGATAGGCATTCTTTATAATTAGCACAAAAAAATCTTTTTTAGCACCGAAGTCTATCGCATTTCGCTGTCTCTATAATTCCGGTCTAGATTGTGGATTATATCTTTTGTTTTGATTTGTTTGATATACGATATTATGATATTTTGCCTTCTGTGTTTGCCTTAKTAAATGAGTTTTTAATCAATCTGCTACACTTTCAAAGATGTTGTTATATTTTTAAAGCCGCCACAAGTCAAGTGCATTATGATATAATTTAAGAGGTCCAGAAATTTCGGCAATTTTTTAAGTGAGTTATTTTTTTCAAAGTATTTCCTATTCTTATTTGTTTCTGTGTTTTTGGAGTATGTTTCATTTAAAGTAATTGGTYGCTTTAAATAGTGCTTTTGGTGTATTTTTAACTTGAGTTTCGCCCATATTGTCGCGTAGTGCTTCTGTATTGTTTTCCATTCTGTGGAGAACGGAGAATATACAAAAACMGCGATCACTTTATCTTACAGTTACTAGACTCTCAATAAGATAAAAGAAATGCATTGCAAGGGGTAAATTCAAACATTTTGTGCAAAAATTCTCWCCTTTATAAGATAATATTGCATTTTTTCTGTTAGTTTCTTTGCTTTTTGCGTCTTTGCTAAAATTCCGAGAATGCACTTATCGGCATAACATAGAATMAAAATTTTAAAGTRATTTGTTGCAAATTGCAGGGCTTGTTTGTGTGTTTTCTTACTTRTTGCTAGCGTGACAAACTCATTTATGTTGGTGATGATCCGAGCGTGACGAGCGTGACGCCCTCGGGCAATTCATACTTTCGACTGAAACCACCGAACTCTCGTTATTTTCAAATTCATTATATTAATGAGGTCACGTAAATTCCTTATATGGAAATTAACTGAAAAATGGGAATAAGACTCTTAATTGAAATATATATCGAACTCATGACTGAGGTTTGTGTTTTATTAAAGGCCAAATTACACCTCATACTACAGCTATCGCATGCAMCATTACAACATGGCTACAGTACAACTGCCACAGACAGGATGACTTCGACAAAAAGCTTGATTTTCGGAATATAACGTTTGCTTACAAGACTCTCATACAATCTGTAGGTGTAGTCATTGAGATTACATGTATTTGGATCACATGCAGGCGTAAAATCTGCATCAGAAAGGAAAACGAAATATGTAATGCCGGCGATAAATTAACTTTCTGATTAGGATTTTTGTGAAGAAAGAGAGAGGCAGCTTAGGCTACAACAGCAAAATAATATGACATTAACTTGCAAAACACTATCAGCTAAAGAAATGGTTTGTGATCATAATTGCAATAACAAGTGCAGTTAAAACGTGCAGCGAAATGCACAGCGAAGTCTAGTCTCCTTCGCATCCGTTTTCGTGTCAAGCTTCCTGTGGACGAAGACGGATGCGATCGAGGGAGACTAAGCGAGGTCATCAAAGGAGAACAAAAAATGATGCAGTTTAATACTTGACACATTTCATTGATCAGCAAATTTGTTGGTATACGAAAACGGAATAATTTTTTCAAAAGAAAACCCCATCGCGATGATTTGGGGAAACTTTTTTTTTTAATGAGCGGTGYACCTTTCAATTCATAAATGGATTTTCCATTATGCTTTGCTCTTGTCGCTGAACATTTCCTATTGGCTAAAACAGTTCATCCCTTTAGGTTGCAGTGAAAATAATTGATAAGAAACAAGCAATGGAAGATCGTTACGTTTCTAAGAACATGAGACGCGAGGCAAAAATCCTGCAGATGGTACGTCACCCCAACGTCATTCAGTTATTGGAAGTCGTGGAGACAGAAAATAGGTCAGTGATCCTGTCTTGTAGTACAATGTTTTGATTACAGTGTTTTTTTTAAATCAGGCGTAGGAAATATTGCTGGGCATTGTATKWCAATTAAAGTCATTTTAGGATTCTGGGAAGTCATTAATATCATTTTAGGATTAGATGCATGCCATTTAAATGCAATTATTTAAGCAAAGTTCAACTCGATGCTTGTATCATTACATCCATCAGGCCTCARGGGACTGTGGAATAATTATCAGGAGGGGGAGGGGTTCGGTAATGAGTGAAAAAAGTTRACTAAAACTAAGTATCAACTAAAAAGTTGTTATCCCCCCGTCATTCATGAAAAAAGTATGCCATGCCCCCACCATAACTTAAAAAAATTAAACTAACTGCTGCGCTGTGCTTTCCTTCAAATCAAGTTGAATGTCTAATCGTACTAACTATATAATGTAACTTAGAACTAGTTCTACTTATTATGAATTTTGCGCTAATGACGGGAGTGGTTTCAAGACGCCAAAGCTCAAAGCTATTATTATAGCTGTTGTCACACCATCGGGAACTTTGTTACACACTCTTAGTGGAATAGTAGTGTGTGCTCTTTTACAGCACTCCACTGATGTGTAGAGAGATGGCTTTATCTCAGCCTTCACACCCTTGCCTAAGGGCAAAACGTGCTCGTCTGGGAATTAAAATGTGATTATCAAACCAGTATGAATATCATGAGCACTCTGACTCTAACTACTGTTTGACCCAGAATTGTTCTAAATCTCCCAAACTCGCCGGCAGCTCATTACAATATTACGGAATCAGACTGCGCCTACAGTTGTTATTCAGTTGTCGCATGATGAATTTACGATAACATATTCATGTGAGATATGTTTTCTAGGTATTATTTGGTTTTCGAGATCGCTGGCGGTGGGGATCTTATGGACTATATTTGTTATCGTAAAAAACTTGGCGAGATTGAAGTRCGTAAGTTCATACGACAAATCATATCGGCAGTGCATTATCTACACCAAGGAGGCATTATACACAGGTATGGACCCCAGGGACTATAACGCTAAAGTGAGATTTTGCGGCATTCGCTCGTTTGTTTATCTTTAGTAATTGTTGTCGTGACGATGTAATCATCTGGAGTAAACCTTAGATGGGAAAGTGAAGATGAAATACTGTACTTCATATTAGAACGATTTCACATAACCGGATAAAAAATGCTAATGAGGATAAATTTATGCTAATACACATTACACGATGAGAAAAGCTTGTATCAAATTGTTGTCCTTGTTTGCAAAAACTAGACACAAAAATGTTTTGATTTTTTTCGCCTTACGAAGTGTTTTTCCTTGGTGTGCACGTTGGAATGTTTGTAAAAGCAAACAAATGATTTATTTGACGTGCAATTTTGGCTGCTTATGTTGTGGTTTTATTCATTTTTTAAAAATCTAAAGAGAGTTAACAGCAGCGAGCTTGAGCGCATGTTTGTCTTAGAAATGCTACCAAAAGTGCAAGGGGAATGACTGAGAAATTGATCCTCATTAGCATTTTTTATCCGGTTATGTGAAATCGTTCTATTAGATAAAATCAAAAATTTATTCAGATGTTTCGGGCAATAACAAAGGTCTTCTTGTACAACGTTTACTGGGCACTTTTAAATGAAGGTCTATGCATCAGAAATAAAAATCTGAATAACTTTTTGGTTATGCATCCGAGCCAAACACAAAGAATTTAATTTTCACTATGAATCCTGGCTGCAATTTACATGCATACATGACGGTAAACTAACTCATGGCTTTGTTTATGACCTTCAAGATAATATCCCAAAACCTATACTTTCTTTAAAAAAACCCGTCTAATGAATGATCATATTAATGTTGTCTGTAGAGATCTCAAAGTAGAAAATTTGCTGTTAGACGAGAATTATAACATCAAGATTATAGGTAATATCACGTGACAGCGCGTGTCGACGCACTTAGTCCGCCAACCTTAAATAGTACTAAATAGCACTAAATCGTGCTAAATCCTTCGTTTTCTAGAGTGATCGCACTTAAACCGTGCAACTGTWCAAAATCTAAAGGCTGATTTACACGGCACGATTGTCTCGTGCGATTTGTAGTATACGACTTGAATCGCGCAGTGTAAATGCCCCTACGACTTGTCTACAACAGTCGTACGCAACCTACGACTTGTAGTAGGACTTTGAACCACTGCTTAAAATCCTACGACTTGTAGTAGGAAAATCGTATACTACAAGTCGCGCGCGATGAATCGTACCGTGTAAATCAGCCTTAAGTAGTATTAATTTGTACTAAAACTGAACCTGAAGAAGAACGATATTGAATGCTTCATTTTATCAATTCAGTTTAATTTACGTACCGCATGCACGATTTACTAAATCCAGCTATTTAGTTTGTACAGTTGCACGGTTTAAGTGCGATCACTCTAAGAGTATCCACTCTATAATATAATAACTATAATTGTATTAATTTTCAATTCAGTTGTTTTACAAAGTGCGGCTAATCACATATAACTTCATTATGGATTGCACCACAATACTGACTTTCCTGACTCCAGTTCTTAGAGTGTTTCATGAATATTTGGATGTCTAATGCGCATTTCTATTCTTATTTTGTTCAGATTTTGGTTTAAGTAACACCATCAATGTTCCGAGATCTGGAGAACGTTCCTCATCAAGGGATCATTGTAAAACACAATGTGGCTCTCCAGCCTACGCAGCCCCTGAGATCCTGGGACATCTGACATATGGGACCAAGGTGGACGTATGGAGCATGTAAGCCCTATTATATAGAAATACATTAAAAAGAAAGGGAGAATTAAAAGTGAGACCTTTTGACATGAATGAATGAATAAACCTTTATTTGTCTCTGGGTGGTCAGTTGCATGCGCATCTGTTATCAATGGGAGTCCTGAGCACAATAAATCTATACAGCCTTTTGCACAAATTATGAGACATTTTTATATATATAAATATASCTAACCAAATATCAAAAACACCCAAGAAATTATGGGATACCGTCGCTGATATTTTGTCTGTAACAACCTGATGCTAGGCAATCATGACAAAATATCAGCGACGGTATCCCATAATTTCTTGGGTGTTTTTGATATTTGGTTAGGTATATTTATATATATAAAAATGTCTCATAATTTGTGCAAAAGGCTGTA